ACCGACATGGAGCGGGCTCGGGCGGCCAAGTAGCCGCTGCTCCCGGAGCCCGGGGCCGGGGGCCGCCCGCAGCCCGCCTTCCCACTCCCGGGCGCGCCGCCGCTCAGGCCCCTGCGAGCAGCCGGGAGGAAAATGACGAGTTTTCCCCGGAATCCGTTGGAAAGGGGACTCACTGCACAGCCTTAAGAAAGACAGACCGCGGGAGGAGCAAGGAAAAGCCGCCTCCGGGCCGGACTTGGCGCGCCCCGAGCCCAGCGGCTGCTTCGGGGACCTCGCCCCCTCCCTTCCCGCAGGAGCGGTCGCCGCTGATGCGTTATCCAAGTGGCGGCTGGGAGGACTTGCAGCAGGATTTTTGGTTTTCCCTCCCCCTTCTATACATTCTCTCTCTTTTTTTCCCCCCCTCCGTTTTCTGTTTTCCTTCTTCCCGGGAAGTGAATTGCTGATGCAAATCGGACTTTATTCATTCATGATGCAACCGGATTCGTTTCAGGATTAGGTTGCACGAGCTGAATTTTGAATGAAGGAGAAGAGTTTTTTTGTTTTGTTTTTTAAAGAAGTGTTGACTCTTTAGTTGTACTTTTAATTATTTTATTTAAGTATACGATTTAATTGTATTATTCTTTAAAAAATGTATTAAATATATATTTTATGGCAACTCACCCTCCAGATATATGTATATGGGTGAAATTGACGCTTCAGTGACAGTGAGGTGACTGGTGTGTTGGATGTTTCATTCAGCACCGGCACTGCATGACAGTGGTTTGAATAACAAGTGGTTTGTTTTTAAAACCACACCTTTTAGAATTTAGGGTCAAGTAGTCTTAGTAAAAATCGTAATAATAATTTAAAGGAAAACCAGCAGACATTGAAGCCAACATGTCTGGAGAAGTGCGTTTGAGGCAGTTGGAGCAGCTTATTTTGGATGGGCCCGCTCAGACCCATGGGCAGTGCTTCAGTGTGGAGACCTTGCTGGATATCCTCATCTGCCTGTACGATGAATGCAATAATTCTCCACTAAGAAGAGAGAAGAACATCCTTGAATACCTAGAATGGGGTGAGCTGGTCTTTTTTATGAAATTCTCTTAATCTTATTTAATGGTTAGAGTTGTCATGAGTAAACTCTCTACTCTGTAAAGAAAGAAGAAAATTCACAATAAAAGGATAGACACCAGTTAGTTAAGGTTTTTTTTTTTTTTTAGTTTTTGATACATGTTTTCCTGGGAGTAAAACCATGCTACTCAATTGTTGCCTTGATGTAAGGCCTAGCTAATGTGGAACTTACGGTGATAGATTTGTTTTTTAGGTAAGCAGTAAGAGATTTTAAATAAATTCTGTAATGGGCAAAAATGCGTTATTGCTCACAGTTAATGCATGGCGGTATAACAGCCCAACAATTGATAGGTATTTATTGGTGGAAACATTCCTTCCCAGACTTTGGAAATCACTCTGGAAATGGGAGGAGATATTAAAATATCTGTTTATCTGAGGTCTACAGGAACTTGAAGGTGGTGATCAGTGGTTTTATTTTTATATAGTACAAGCAAAGGAAACTACTACATGTGGACTTTCTCAAAATTGTGTTTGTAAGATGAAATGACAGATAGTTAAAAAAATTTTTGTGGTAGTAGTTGATGGAGAATGTTTGGGGGCAGCTCCCGCTGAAGTTAGATTTTTCTCTATATTGAGTTTATGTCTAAGCTGGTTAGATTTTTGGCTTCATTATTCTAAGCGTAGATGTGATTTGGAAGACCTACTGTAGTGGAACAGATCAACGATGAGCGCAAATGCGCCATGTGACCTTCAAGCTTGGAGGCTTGGCTGAAGTTCTCCAGCTTCGGATGTTACATCCAGGGCGCACTCTAACGTCCAGAAGTTCTCAGTTGGAAGAAGTACGCGTCCTCGCTCATCTGCAGTGGTCCATCGGCTTTTGAACGATGTTGGCCACATAGTGAATTGTACCTTTTGAATACTAATAATTTTAGTTTGTTGGAAGCTTTTATACTAAAATATCTTTGTTCGCAAGTAAAGCCTTATTTTCCTGAAGTGAAAGTCAAGTGCTGATTGGTTTTTTTTTTTGGATTTGAAATTTATTCAGCATTCGTTTCTCACTGATAAACCACTGATTCAAGAATGCCTATACATAATGACTTTAATTATTCAGTTTGGCAGTATCAGAAGATTTCTAGGAACATGATGTCGTGAGGTTTTTAAGAAATATGTAAATGTAAACAGGATGATTTTAAAAAACAGATTACCAGATTCCTACTGGGAATGTAAGAAATCTAAACTTTCAAGTGACTTCTCTTTAAAGATTGAGGCAGTTTTGACTTTGGTACTGGTTTTGTGAGTATATGTCTTTTATTTTTCTGTGTACAGCGAAATATTTATAAAGCATATGTAGGTTTACAACCCATGTTTCATAAATGTAGCCATACTATAGTGTTTTCTTTCGAAGACTTAAAAGGTTTTGGTACTTTGGGAGTTGGAATTTGAGTTGTTAAATTATAGTTTCACGGTGACACTCTAGTCTGTGATTATGATTGTCATTTAATGTCCTTTCTCACTTGCCAAATGATGGGAGAACTCTTTGTGTCAGTAGTAAATTGAGGTTACTTCAAAAAGTTAGTGGAAAAATGGAATTAAAAGATAATACGAATCCTTCCATGAGATTTTTGAAGACCCCCTCATATAATTTTAAATAATTTGAGATAAAAGGGAAGACAGTATTCTCCACTGTCTTCTGGTTATTGGAGTTTACGTAGTAGTTTTATGCTGTGAGATTATTTTGCTTTATTAGAATAATTTATGGATATTTTCCATTAAATATGTTTTCTTGGATGTTGTTTCTTCTAAATGTATTAAAATACCTTGTTTATATATATTTTCACTTAAGGCAAAAAATCAAATAAGTATTTGGCCAAAATACATTTTGTTTTTATTAATGTATTTTAAATAACTTCAAACCAGGTACTTTACAAAATTTAAAGTAAATTAAGTTTTAGTGCTACTCTTCACGTTTTGTCTTTTTAAAAGTCTGATATATGGCATAACAAAAATGTGCAGTTTCTTAATTAAACCCGTATTGTTTTTCAGTAACAGAGAACAAGAGATTAGAATTTTAAAGGAATTGTTTTGTAGACTTTGGGGCCAAGCAGTGTCTGTTAAGTAACAGGCATTTTTAAGTCGGAGTATGACTTCTTGAAAGTGGGAGTTATCAACCAAAGAAGTTTGGGTAAAGAGTAAGAAGAGAAAGTTAGGAATGGAAAAGCTGTCAGGAGATATATCATGAGTAATATTATTTACTGTCTTTAAGTTATTTGAGAATTTAGGTTAGGAATGCCAGTCTCTTCACTTAAGCATTGAAATAGATGAGCTGTTCTTCATGTATGAATTGATTGCTACATTTTGGAGAAATGTCCTCTTCTCATTATCTAACATTATATAACAATTTAGGTTAAGGAAGTTTCCAGATTGTGAATTGACCTCAATTTAATTTTTTAAACATTATTTTTTTTTGGTTTCTGATGAAAATTTACAGGGTTTGTTCTGGTTAAATTTGATAATTTAGACTTGCCTTAAATGATATAATTTTTAATTTGATTTTCAATACCCAAAAAGAGTGGGTCTTTTACATAAAATCTTTAAAAGACCCAGTATTTGCAACAAGAGAGCAGTGTAGCTAAATACTTTGTATTACATGCTATATATTTGTGTTTGGTATTTACATTAACGAAATTGTCATCTAGATACTCCTTATTTTTATGCTGATGATACGTTACTTTTACAAGTGGAGCCAGCCATGATTCTAACCATTGCTTTATTTCTGTCAATTTTATTATATTCCTAATTATTGTCCATTTCACGTCATGTTGGTACAGTTAATGTTTTGTTCATAACAGTATCATGACAATAAGAAAACTGACCATTCAAAGTCAGATACGTTGTTTTTCTTTGACAGCATTCCTTGCCCTTGGTGCTAATGGCCCGAGGGAGGAAATAACTAGAGCAGGAGAGAGAAAGAGGGGATTAAGCCATTGGGCATTAGAGAGCAAGGGAGTAAGAGTGCCATAAGTCCATAGAACACTTTTTTTTTTCCTTTTTGTCTTTTTCCGTGTCCGGCAATGGATCGCAACCCTCAGTGTCGCCCCCGCACCGGACCGGGACCAGCAACGGGATCGCAACCCTCGGCGTTGCTCCCGTGCCTCGCTCAGCCAGTGAGCGGGAACTGGTCTGTATGTGGGATCCGAACCCTCGGCGGGAGCGCCGCTGCGCCTCTCAAGCGGCACACTACAGCAGTGCGCCACCGGGCCGGCCCACATAGAACACTTTTAAATTTAATAATATTTGTTATTTCCCAGGTATAGGCAATAAGATTTAAAAGATTATGTTTTTTGTCTTCTTTGTTTTTTAAGTTGTTGAAATGATTATGGTTTCTATGTTTACAAAATAATACTTTGGATGTCAGTAGTATAACTGGAGTAAGTTTCAGTAGAGTTGTAGGAGTAAAACTAACTTTTACGTTACAAACTAACTTGCTAGTAATGCCTGAATGAGTACATTATTCATCGAGTTGGCCACCCCCCTACTTTGGAATGGGAAATTGGAATTTTAGGGAAATCTTTACTAATTTACTTAAAAAATAGATGTAAAATAGTATTATTCAGTGCAGAAGAAATATGCAAGGCTATCTGTATGTGAATAACTTTTTTTTTTTTTTTTGATGCTTTCTGACTCTTGGGCTTTGTAACATTTCATACAGATTATCATAAACAACAGTAACTTTATAGCTTATTCAGATTTTGTGTATATACACAGAGAATAGTCTGGTTAATAAACGTGTTACTAGAGCACATCAGCAGGTACGGTTTAAACTTTCTCTTTTATTAGAGTAGTTTAAAACTATTCACATTTTTTCATGTGTGGGTTAATTAAGTGAGCTGATAATGGCTTGATTAGATGGATCTGAGTCTTTTCTAGGATACTTTCTTCCTCATGTCTGCTTTTCCTCACTGTTAGCTTTTCCTGCCTAGAATTTACCATGTTTATTTAACATAGATGGTTAAATTTATTTTTGCTTAAGTCTTCTATTAGGATCATCATAAATGTCTTCAGAAATATAGGCTGGGCACTTGTTTCTTTTATACTAGCCATTTAATACTCTATTGTAAGACATATAGTGAATGAGTACAATTATTTTATCTTACACAGTGTGGGCACGTGGTAGAAGCATGTTTAATAAGTGGTGGCTATTATTATTCCATTTCTCTCTCCTATTTTTTTCTCTTCTATCTCTCTCTTTTTAAAAAAGAAATCACACAGAGATAGTTGCCAGGTTATGTTAGTGCAACAACTTGATATTCGTTAGTAATCATTTTTAGAACATCATCCTTTTTTTTTTTTTTGGAAGACTGTATTGCTTTATGAATGAGAACAGGATGTCAGGACTAACACTTCAAGAATTTTAGAAATTTATTGCCAGGTTATGTTAGTGCAACAACTTGATATTCGTTAGTAATCATTTTTAGAACATCATCTTTTTTTTTTTTTTGGAAGACTGTATTGCTTTATGAATGAGAACAGGATGTCAGGACTAACACTTCAAGAATTTTAGAAATTTGTTTATTTCATATGGAAATGTAAGGTATACCTTAGCATACTATAGAAAAAAATAGTGAAATGTGTTGGAAATTTTGTGAAATGTTACTAAATCTTAGGACTCCCATAGTAAGCCCAGACTGTTTTAGGTAAAAGCACTGAATTTAGCACAGATTAATATTTTATTGTACCACTCTTTTGTGCAGTCAAATTTTTTTCCCCAAAACTTACTCTCTTTTGTTACACTTACTGCTAGTGTGTTGTGTATGTAGCTCATTGTTTTTATCCTGCTGGTAGTGATAGATTTTAAAATCAATTTCCTAAGTCTAACCATCATTTAAAAAATTAGACTGGAATAGAAAATATCAAGTATGTTATATGTAGAAAAAATAAGTATTATTAATCAAAACACTTGTGTTTTCTTGCATTTCTTTTCTGCTCATCTTGTATTTCTTGAGA